TCCTTCCTGTCTGGGTTGGTGTGGCGGGCAGGCCAGGAGGGGGCCGGGGGGGGGCTGTGGCTGGCTTCTCCCGCTCGCGTGCTCCAGCAGGAGGGCAGGAGAAGCCATGGGGAGGGCTTTAAAGGGCTCCCCGACCCCTTCCTGGCTCGCTTGGCTTGGTGGGCAGGCCAGGAGGGGGGGGCCTCTGGCCGGCTTCTCCTGCTCGCCCTCTTTGGTGGGAGGGCAGGAGAACCGACGGGGAGGGCTTTAAAGGGCTCCCCAGCCCCTTCCTGGCTTGCTTGTCTCGGTGGGTGGGCGAGGAGGGGGCCGGGGGGGCCTGTGGCCAGCTTCTCCTGTGCGGCTGCTCCAGCGGGAGGGCAGGAGAACCCATGGAGAGGGTTGTAAAGGATCCCCGGGTCCCTTCCTGGCGCGCTTGCCTCAGCAGGCGGGCGAGGAGGGGGAGGTGGCCTCTGGGCAGCTTCTCCTGCTCGCCGGCCTTGGAGGTCTTTCCCCGGGGGTCCATCTCGGCAGCCGGGAAAAGGTGTTGCGGAGGCCTCCGGAGGTCCCATGCCAGCCACTGCTCCCGGAGGCCTCCGAGCAGCCGTAGAAACTAGGCGGGGGGGGGATCAGGTGAAGAGGGTAGCGCGGGGGCCTCAGCAAGGTTGCGCGGGGGCCTCAGGAGGTCTTTCCCTGCCTGGCCATCGCGGCTGGCGAGTGGGGAAAGGTGGCACGGGGGCCTGAGAAGGCGGGGGAGATACCGTGGGTGGCTGACTGACCGGCGCGGCAATGCCGTGGTCGTCCTCGGCGTTCCATGCATCCTGGCCGCAGAGCAGCCATCGTCTTTGATGGCCGTGTGTGCACTGAGGGCAACACGGTGGCCACCGGACGTGTGGGCGGGACTGAGGCCACGCAGCCACCCAGCAACTGGCAGAGTTTTGGAGTGGCAGTTCAGGCGGCCAACTGATTTTGGCCTGAATCGAATCCTGCCACCCCATAGGAGATGCCACCCTAAATCAGCTTTATAATATAGAGAGATATGTTGCTTGGAAACATAAAATTAGCTTCTGCAAATCTTCAATCTTACTAGGGGCAACACGTTTGGCAAGAAGAATGCCCAGCAGCACCCATCATTCCCACCAAACTCTCCTTTGTTCTGTAGCTTGTGGAAAATATATTATTTTGTGTGAGATGATATTATTATAATCTCATACAAGTGATACCCCCTCCCCAGAGCCTTGTGCTTGCCAGAGAGGTAGGTCATCTGGTCTCTCATTTGTGCTGCAGTATGGACAAATAAAGTACAGAGCTTCTTTCTTCTCTAAACCTTAGAGCCAGTGTGACGTACTGGTTAGAATGCTGGATTAGAATCTAGAAGACCAGAATTCAGATGTCTACACTGTCACAAAGTATGTTGGATGGCAGTAGGACAAGCACGGTCTCTTGGTCCAACTTACCACACAGGGAAGTTGTGAGAATAAATTTGGAAGAGCCAGTCTATGTCCTTGTGGGAAGAGTGGGATAAAAACATTCTCAATAGCAGGCCCATAGTACAATGGGGCTTTAGGGGGCTCTGTCCCCTGTCTTAAAGGCACAGCCTCACAAGAATTTATCCTGTGAATGCTTTTTTCAATCATTTAAAAACATTTTTAAAAGGCATGCACTCCTTTAAGCAGAGTGGGGTGCCGTAGTTGACTGATTCCCACCCTGGGCAAGGGGGTTGGAGTAGGTGACCTCTAGTTAGGCGACCTAACTCTATGTCAAGAAACTGGTCTCCTTTAGGTGACCTTCTAACTCTATGTCAAGAAACTGGTCTCCTTTAAGAGAGTTTTCTGCCTAAGTGTTAGCTTTCTTGACTATAGAAGTCATTGCCCCCACCTGCCGGCTTGTTATGAGAATTGTTGCTTAGGCTGGTAGAAATTAACTTGCAGCAGCTGAGGACTGTGATCTAAACTGATTGACAGCTTGCAATTTAGAGATCTATCCTGGTAACAGCTTTCTATTGGCTAAATGGCATTTCTTTCCATACTGAGAAATTAAGCCCCACCAGAAAAAAATTTGCCCCACAAGCCACAAAACCTGGCTATGGTCCTGCTCAATAGAGAGGAGCTAGTGGGAAAATACTTGCACTCGTCCACATAGAAGAGGACTTGGGGGTGAGGGAAGGGGCTGGCAGCAAGCACAAATAGAGGCCGTATAATAAGCCAAACCCTTGTCTAGAATGCTGGGAACTTCTCCACACAGAGCATCCACGTGGAGCAGCTCTGAAGTGCTGAGCCCATAACCATGAGTGCTGCTTCCTGGTGACAATTTGCAAGAGTCCAATTATCTGTTCTCTCACCTGCACAAATGTTCAAGGAAGCGATGCACTCCTGGCTCCTGTGGAAGTTGGTAGAATTAACCAATTTGCATTGAGCCAAGCATATTATTCTTGAGCCTCAGACTGACTAACCTACAAAGTAAAGTTTTTTTAAAAAAAATGATTTAAATATCTTCTTACACATCACCTGTGTCAGCACTTTGGATTCGTTGCAGCAGCTGATTTGTGACTTTTGGTTGGCATTGCCCATGGAGAGGACTCTTGCTTTGTTGTTGATCATATCCAGTTGAGGATATAAAGTGTGCTCTCAGATTTCTTTTCTTGCACCCTATAATGCAAATAATTGAAATGAACTTTGATACCATGTTTCAGTGTTAGTACAGAATTATTTCAAAATGTAAAATAGAATTATTCCACAACAACAAACTTTTAAGTACAGCGAATATAAACTTTTAAGTACAGCAAATATATCAAGTTGTTGCCTTAAACTTTCTTTATTTTTTACGGTACAGAAATCCTATTCTATGCCAATCAGCATTGAATTTCAGCGAAGATATGCGACTATTGTTTTAGATCTTGAGCAGCTGAACAAGGATCTAAACAAAGTTTTGCATAAAGTGCAGCAGTATTGTTATGAGGTAAAAGGGGGTCTCTTTTTAACCAGATCATTTTTATCAATTAAGTCCTAAAGGTTCTTCACCTGCATGTTTCAAAATGACACTAGATTTATTTACTTATTTTGGCACTCCTGTCTCCCAGCCCATGGTGAAGCCATGGAAGTGTTGCTGTCTGCTTCCTTGTGTTTCTTATTATGGGCATATCCAGTAGAAGAGAATTCCATCAGTAGACTGGGGCTTCCTTGCCTCCGCCATCTCTCTGCAGCCCAAAAGGCTCACCAGTATGCTGCTCCTGAAGGACAGGACTCCGTAGGGGAAGGAGGGATTCAGCACAAAGTCTGTTAGTGGAAAAGCATCACAGTAGACTTTCAACCCAGTGTCTCAAACTGTGTATTTATTGTTGTTGCTCCTGTCAAGGAATGCTGAAAGTGCCAGAATCACATTTCTGATCATTACAAGTGATCTAGGCAACTGTATTGGTGAGTCCTTGAATAAAAACATTGGGTTGGATCTTATGGTGGCATAAGAAAATGCACTGGAGGATGTTTCCCCATGTTTGCTTTCCCACAGCAGCCCTCTGCAACCTCCATAAAGGCATTGCTGGGAGTTGCAGGAAACTCCTGGAGAAAAACCCACCAGGTAGGGGATTTTGCAGTGATGAGTGGAATTGGGCAAAACACTCTCCATCTTGCTGTTGTGCCAAGTGAAAGCTTGTTCTGCCACATGTCCTCTAGCAGCAGGAGAGCAAGCTGGGGACAATTTTGAATGATTCCTCCTCTTCACTGCAGCTCTCTGTGCCTAATGTCCATGGGGATTGCAGAGGTTTGTTGTGGAAGGTGCTTCTACGAGCACCTTCCATGAGCACAAGCATAGGCTCCAACCCATAAAGTAAGAAATGTTTATTACATAGCTATCTGTGAAATTAATTTTATTAAACTCAGTTATCTGTTTACAGACAGAATAGTTGTTAAATCCTTTATCATCCTGGTTTTGTAAATAATCTCCACAGCTTGCACCAGAGCAAGGCCTCCAGCCTGCAGACCATCCAACAGATCTGAGACGGAGATGTGAGGATGAAGCTCAGGAGATTGTGAGGCAATCAAATACATCAGCAACAGGACAGCCTTGTGTTGAAAATGAGAACCTAACAGATCTAATTGCTAGACTTACAGCAATATTGCTACAGATTAAGGTAAGTAGCATTGAGAGAGAAAACATACACATCTTTTCCTATAGTTATGTGCCCCCTGGAAAATTGCTTCTAAAGGTTGTGGGACTAGGGAAACAATGAATAGGAAAATTGGGAATAGGGAAACAGTGGCTATCATCCTTCCCCATAGGGGCCATATAGGCTATCTACTCTAACCCCCACGCAATGTGGAATTAACCTAAAGCATCCTTGACAGGTGTACATCAAGCTGTTGCTTGAAGACTGCCAGTGAAGGGGAGCCTTTCAGATATTTAAAGAGAGCAATCATGTCCCGCCTCAGCCTCCACTTCTCCAGACAGGACTTTCTCAAGTCCCTCAGCCTTTCCTTGTGGGGCTTGGTCTTCAGACTCCTGGTCATCCTCGTCACTCTCTTCTGCACCTGCTCCAATCTGTCCACATCCTTTTTGAAGTGAGGCCTTCAGAACTGCACACAGTACCCCATGTGCAGCCTGACCAATGCAGTGTACAGTGGGACTATGACATCTTGCAGTTTGGGTGGTATATCTCTTTTGATACACCCCAATACAACATTAGCCCTTTTTGCTGGTTCATTACACTGACTGCTCACCTGTACCCCCAAGTTCTTGTTCAGACACACTGGTATCCAGAAGTCTATCCCCCATCCAGTATGTGTGCTTCTCAGTTTTGTTAGCCACATGTAGAACTCTGCACTTGTCCTTGTTGAATTGCATCTTGTTCACACCCACCCACTTTTCCAGCATGTTCAGATCTCATTGAATTCTATCTCTGTCTTCCAGGGTGTTTTCTAATTCTCCCAATTTGGTGTCACCTGCAGATTTAATGAGTAGTCCGTTCCCCCACCATCCTGATTATTTATAAACATCTGAGCTGAACTAAGCCCTGCGGCACCCCACTAGACATCTTCAACTGCTCTTTTGGTGCAGTTCTCCTACCAGATCCACCTAACTCTCCTAGAGTCCAGTCCACAGTCCTCCAGTTTACGCATCAGAACATCATGGGGAACCCTGTCAAAAGTTTTACTGAAATCCAGGTGAACAGCGTTGGTGGCGTTCCCACAATCCAGTAAGCCTATCATTTGATTAAAGAAGGAAACAAAGTTGGTCTGGCAGGACCTGTTGGGGACAAATCTATGCTGAGTTCTTCATATCACCAAGTTGTCCTTCAGATGCTTGCAGATTGACCCCTTTAAAATTCTACTCCAGTATCGTCCCTGGGACAGAGGTCAGACTGACTAGCCAATTCCCCTATAGTTGCCTATGCTGTCACATATACCCTGCTTAATAGCGCACATCAAAAGGTTTAATGTAGTTGTGTGAGCGCTGTATTAGAGGTAAACATATAGTATTAGTTCTTGACATTTTAATCTTTAATTTCTTCCAGTGTCTAGCAGAAGGAGGTGATCTAAATTCCTTTGAGTTTAAGTCATTAACAGATTCATTAAATGACATCAAGAACTCCATAGATTCCTCCAATATCAGGTAATGTGCAGCACATAGTTAAACATCTCAGATATTATATAGAACCAAGAATCTTTACACCAAGTACTGTCCACTTTTCTCTTAATGTTTTAGTGTGTGTGATGGTGTATAGGGTTTTTGAATCTGTATGTTTTGAATCTGTATGCAGTCATAACTCATTTTATATTCATCAACGTATCTAATTCTCAAAATGGCCAAATCTTAAATCTGCATACTGGAGCAAGGAACAGACAAGGCAGATCTTTCTACAAACCCAAAAAAGCTCCAGATTTGCACAAATATCTGCAATTGTAAAAAAGAAAAAAAATGGGTGTTTTTTTTAAACTACAGCCCAGTAATAGGAGTAACATCTGTAGCTTTAAGAAGTGAATGCCGTTTCAGTGGTCTTTGTGGGCAACCACAATATACTGCCAGCCTTCAAACCTTGGTTTCTGTCAGTAAAAGGCAGGGAGAAAGGGGAGAGCCCTCCCCAGGACTGTTTTGGCCTTTGAGAGAGGAGTCATCAAGGCCAGGTCTGGCAGCAGCACCTAGCAGCTTGATACCACACAACTTGCATGCCTCACCCAAGAATGGCTGCTTGCTATTGCACAACTAGACCTGGACCGGCAACGAGCACCACACAACTGGGCCACAGTTTTCCTGGGTAGCGGTTGCTTGGTGGAGGAAAAGAGGGAAATCTGAAGGGGTGGTGGTGGGGGAACAAGATAAAGGTAGCTTGGTTGGTGGGTGGGAAGGAGAGAAGAAAAAAGGAAAAGGAGTGAGGCTATGGCAGCTTTCAGGGAAGGGAAAGGGAAAATAAAGAGGGAATTAAAATAAGATATTTGAGGCTCTCTCTCTTATGCTGGATACAGAGGTTTAAAAAGTGAAATTTGGATGCCCTGATTACTATCCAAGTGTATAAAAGGGGAATTTTTACATATTTAATTCAAAGCATGTGAAGAGGCTGCCTCTTAATCATTAGAGCTATGCCAGTAGAGAGCAAGCCAAGCCACTGTCAAAAAGATCTGCTGAGATACTTAAATACATCTTTCATCTCCATCACTACCAAATATTTGCGATTGTTAATTGAATAAAAATGTGTATGTATTATTTCTATCTTACAGTTTCATGTTATACCTGGCATGACAAATAAGTTAAATATAAATGGTCAAAATAAGTTAAATATAAACGGCCAGAGTAATTAAAAATTGTTTTGCTTTCCTTAGTTGTTTTCAGAATAATGTTGAGATCCATGTTGCACATATCCAGAGTGGACTCAGCCAGATGGGAAATTTACATGCCTTTTCTGCAAATAACACCAACAGAGACTGACACAGAGAAATGTTTACTTTAGTCCAAGTGTACAGAATGTAATTGTGGAAAAGCCTCGTTATAAGCTTCACCAAATATCCTGCTGGAAGATAAAGGAAATGAGGAGGATATTTTGAGATGTGTTGTACTGCTTCTGAAGAAACCAGCAAAAAATTACCAGCATTGCTATAGACTTCATCACTTGCTATGCACATACAGTATCTTGTTTAACAGCTAAACTTTAGTTATAAAAGTACAGACGTTGTTTTAACTGAACGTTATACAGACAAGTTTCATATAATGTAAAGGAAGAATATTTTATTTTAGTTGCAACAAATTCTGGTGTGTTGAAAACAATGAACAGGAAATGACACAAAGAAGGGGCTGAGCCACAGTCCCTTGTTCTGAAAACTATAGTACCCTAATGGTAATGTGTCACTGCCTTTGAATTTCAGTCTCTGAACAGTGTGGTGATTGGTAAAGCAGTGTGTGTATTCCTGTTTTTGGAAAGTAGCAGCAGAATGGGATATGCAAAGGAATGCTAGTGGCTAGATAGCTATTGTACACTTGTGGATACTGGGAGTCTTGTAAATCAGTTAATATCTTCTTGAATGTTTTAATTTATCGTAACTTATAAAAGAAATCTAATGAAGGAGTAGAAAAGGACTGCTGAATTTCCAGAAATAGAAAATATTTACTTTCCCCCCTCCTGAGTGCGTAAAAGATTTTCTAGTTAAGATATTTCACACAAATAACTGGTAATATTTTCCACTGATTTGTTTGCACAACCTTAAACTAGATAACTGGTTATCAAGCAACTCACAAAGTTCAGGCATTGCAGTTGGATAGCCAGTCCTGTAAACTGCCTAGAATTATACACAGCAAAGATCTAAGGCGGTTATACAAAAACTTCAATTTTGTAAAAAGTGTGTATTAAGTTGTTTATTCAGTAGTCTTGTAAAGCTTCAGTGTAATAAATTGTTTCCAGATTTGAATCTTCAGGTAGTTGTAGCAATGTTTGATTCTTTGATGCCTCATGAAATGAGGTCTTTTGTATGTTAATGTACAAAGAAAATGTAAACAATTATTTTCAATTTAAAATTTTGTATAGTTTTAAAAATGCTTCTGTATTGTGTCTGTATCTGTGCTGCTTTAAAACTTAACTGCAGAGTCTATATTTAGCAAATCCTGTTCTTTTAAGAGCATAAATCTTTTATTCTCATTGATTTATGTAAGTTGCAATATTTTACAAAAATTGCATAACATTTTACACCCGAAGAGGTCAGATACTTTTAATATTCACTTAATATAATCTTACAAATATATTGATGCCTGACAGCAGAAGATACTGGGATACCTCATCGTCTAGGTTTATTCACATTCTCCATGAAATGTTCTTGCCTTCACGGATTCAAGCAATCTTAGGTTTTCTTGTTCAGAGGGGTGGGCGCGGACATCCCACCAGTTCCTTTCTTACCGCCGCGTTGGAAAGACCTCTTTCTTCGTCGGTCTGATCGGTTCGCTGTTTGCCTTTGCCATCACGACATACCACAGCTGAAATTGACGGCATAGAGAAAAATGACACCGGCTTCTCTGCCTGTGTAAGGAATGTCGTGTTGAATTCCAGGAAACCCACTACGCAGAGGTCCTATGATTATAAATGGCGTAGGTTCTGCTCTTCGCTTGGAGATGGCGCCCCTCGAGCCACCTCAGTGGGTCTCGAACGAGTCTTCCAATTCCTCCACACCCTAGCTTACTCGGGACTTTCCCATTCCTCGTTGCGAGTTTATTTGGCCGCCCTTTCAGCCTACCATGTTCTAGTTGACATACGTACGTTTTCTCATCCTATTTCAAAACGGTTTTTAAAGGGTTTGATCTTCTTCGTGGTCTCTGTGCTTCACACCAATGGGATCTAGTGCGCCTGCGCTGGATCTGCCGGTGCCGTAGCAAGCTCTCTTAAAAGGATTTTCGTGCCTAGCCCAACTGAGCATGCTCAGGAGCCCCAGTGAGCATGCCCAGAAGGGCAGGCACGGACATCCCGCCAGTTCTTTCCTTACCGCCGCGCTGAGCAGACCTGTCTTCGAGCGGTCTGGCCGGATCGCTGTTTTTTGTCACTTTTAGTGATCAGCTCTCAATTTTTTCTCTCAGTTTCTCTTCTATTTTCCTATTTTCCTTTTTCTTGTCTTTTTTTTTTTTAAAAAGAGAGAGTTTCTGTTTTCGTCGTCTGAGGTAAAATTACCTCA